CGAATGGAACGTGGTCTCGTATCGTAGAGGTACGGCGAGCAACGCCACACTGCCGCCAAACAAGCTGCAGAGGTTGAAAAGTACCTATACGCCGTTATCCTGTCTTCAAACGTTTAACCGTTTTAGTGCCATGTACACCCCTCTTTCAGGTACTAACACGATCGTGCACAGACCAAAGGAAATCATTAAGTTTTTAAATAATTCTTTGTTTCCCTGTCATCAAAGTTGAAAGTTATAATGAACTGAAATCAGAAAAAAATACGTCCGAAGCAGTTCTCGATATTTATTCCTAACTGATGGTATGGCCAATTAGTCAAATTAGATGTCAGCATTTTCATGCGGCACGAAAAGACTTGAAGATGCCAAAATTCATATTCGTTCTCAAAAGGAGAATGTCAATCGTGCCCTTCATGCAATGGGAAGCATGGTATATATAGAAATAATATATAACTAGAATGATCAAGCATGTTATCACTTCCTACTTTTTAGAATTTTTTCATCACCGAGGGATTAAAAGAAACGGGAATGAGCCAAATTAATCAATGATTAATACACGAATTTTGATATTTGTTCCATTGTTTATATGTTGCTTAATTAATAATTTCACTGTTTCTTTCTTTCGCTCATTGAATTATGCAGTCAAACTACCTATCTATGTATCGATCGATCGACTCATCCACCCATCCATCCGTCCATCCATCCATCTATCCATCCATCCACTCATCCAACCATACTGGCATACATACGTCCATTAAACGAAGTAATGCACTGTTCATTTCTGATTGCTAGGAACAGTCTCACGAGGTCGGATGAATACTCTCCATCATCCGCCAGGCATGTTTAATGTCTCCGAGTCAAATGTACCTAGTTGCAGATATCATGTACTCCAACCATACGTCTTTTGGAGTGCTGCTACCGTTTATCATGTTTCGTTGCAGACAGCGTTTGCCTTACTATCGTTAAAGTGGCGTCCCGATGATAAGTTTTGTGGAAACCCTGAATATATCCGTTTATCGGTTGAACCTGCATCAAATGGATTAACGTGCCTTAAAATAGAAATTAATAAATACTGGTCCTGATTCCTAACCCTTCCAATTGTGCTTTCTCTATTAGCAATATTTAAACTCCATTATGAGGTGTTGTATAGCCAAGGAACACGGGCATTTGTAATCTCGGCCTCATCAGATTCTCTGCAATTATGCAATGTAATTTCTTGGTCTGCGGATTTCGATTTTGTTCTCAATGCATCTTTTACTTGCTCACATTTATTTCAAAGGTAGGGAATCTGTTCGTCTCTGTGGCGTACTATGATTTCAGGAATACTGTAACATTCTGAAAGAATGGCATGCACTGTCGAACGCTTGGCGTTGCCTATTCAAGCATTCAGTCTAAGTGTGCAGAGATTCGGAAGGTTTCGTTTTGCAAGGAACGGTACGCCCCAGAATAAGTTATGTCATTCACTAATTTATAAGTCATGAGTCGTCTGAAATTTGTGACACATTAATTTAGTCGTCTGTGAGACACGACTCACTGCGAATTAAGCATGATTGACTGTATTTTTCTCGAACGCTTCCGAATGATGTTTCTCATAAAAAAGGTGACCACTTGTAAGAAGCCATGCGATTTGAGTAGTGAAGACCAGTTCGTGGGCAGCAAGTTACAAGTGCGAAGAATAAAGACCGGTCTCCGCCCTTTTGCGTACCAGTTTCTGAGTGAGGGAGGCGATATGAAAAGAACAGAATCAGGTTGCCGCTCTTCAGAATAATGAACAGCCTGCGACGTTTTCCCGCCGTTGCCTAGAGAGTATTCGATTTGCAATAAGTCGATCAGAGGTCAGTTACGCAGATCACGTTGTTTGGTTGCGTTTTCGTTACTTCGCGCGAATTACGAACACCACGTGGTCCTAAGCATCGAAATGTAGAGGTGA